TGTGTGTGTGTGTGTGTGTGTGTGTGTGTGTGTGTGAGTGAGTGAGTGCGGATAGATACAGCGTCAAGTAGTGTGTGCAAGGCACAAAGGCATGCAGTTGTGAACAACGAGAGCATCATCAAGCTAAGCAAAAGACGCGCGTCGCAAGCAGGGCTGTTGCTTGTACCAGTGGAATGCGGTCGCTGACAAACTGGTTGAACGAGTTGCGCTCAAACCCTGCCAGGAGGCATGGCATGGCATGAAGATGAGCAGCTGCTGCACACCATTCGAGGCACAGACAATGACACGACCAAGGGCGCGCACACGCACAAACACGAACACTCACACATGCACACGTGCACACGCACACACATACGTACACATGAACACTCACACATATGCACAAGACACATACACACAGCCCTCCCTCACCGATCTTGGCCTCCTCTTGTGCTTGTGGGGTGTTCTGCAGTTCGAGGGCTTGTCTCCTCATGCCTTCATGATGCGCTGCGAATGGGGCTGGGAAGTATGGCTCAGGCAACCCCTGATGAAAGCGGCAGCGCGAGGGTGAGTCCACGGAGAAGTGAGTTGAAGGAGTTCAAAGGTGATGGTGATTTCAGGCGAGGCATAAGAGAGAGACAGAGAGACAGAGGTGCAGAGAGAGACAGAGAGACAGAGACAGACAGACAAAGAGAGAGAGAGGGGGGAGGGAGGGAGCACACTCAACGAGACAACACATACACACCCACACATCAACACACACACACATCCACACACATTCACACACACACGCACAACCATCCACACACGCACAACCATCCACACACGCACAACCATCCACACACACACACCTGCTGGTTAAGTGGAAGGTGTGCGTATGCATTGTTGGACGGATCGCCCCTGTTGAAGAAGAGTACGCAGCCTGTCACAAGCGCAGCGAGCACCACCATGCGCCGTGGGCTGCACAGCCACCACCGGCGCCCAAACATCGTTCCGCGTCTTGTCTGTGTGCGTGTGTGTGTATCTTGTGTATGTGCGTGTATGTGCGTCCTTCAACGTGCCTCTAACTCTGTTTGTCCCTCGTCTTGTCCCCGGTCCTTCGCTGCTGTATCTGTAGTCGAGGCCCCTTGTGCCGCTCCCTTGCGTTGCACGCTGGCCAACCCTGCACTGGCAAGACCAACAAGGTACACGGTGGGAAGGTCGTGTGTGTTGTGTTTGTCAAAGGCGGCGAAAAGTCCTTCCACAGCAGAAACCGTTCCGCAACTTGATTTCAACTTGTGCTGTCGTGTTTGACCAGCGAATATGGCGGGTCGTCGTAGCTCTGCTGGGCTGCTGGTGTGTTTCCTGGTGGCGCTGTCACTGGCCACGCTGGCGTTTCTCTTCTTCTCCGTGCTCCTGGGCTTGCCTCTCACATCCATCGGCGATCCCACCAGCCGCAGCAGCAGTGACAGTGGCAGCGGCAGTGGCAATCACCACCTCTTTGATGACGACGTGCTGTTGTCGCTGTCATCGAATCACAAGCCAGCAACCAAACGCGTGGCGATGATGATGGGTGTGCCTGCAGGCATAGACGATGATGTTGTGGCTGACATCGTTGACGACTTCGACAACCTTGAAGACGAGAAGCAGAGGACAGGCGGAAGTCATAGCCTGCTTCAGGGCGATAGCACGGCTGACAAGGCAGCTGACAAAGACACGTACCCTCGCGTGCTGGTGCTGGTGCTGGCAACGGCTAGTGCCGAGAGTGTTGAGCGGGTGCAAAGCATCGTGCGGCACTGGCCCAATCACCCAAACGTCGACTTGGCCATCGTCGCCCGCGGGCTTGAGCTGGACGACATCCTTACACCCACAGCAGCCGCGGAACCACCAGCACAACAACGGCAGGGCAAGGTGATGTTCCTGCACGTTCCAGAAGAGGTGGACGTTGTGCCACGCGACCAGCTCCGGCTCAAGGTGTTTGCCATGTGGCAGACAGCAGCAAACCTGCACGGCGACAACTACGACTTCTTCTTCAAGGTTGATGACGACACCTTTGTGGACGCGCTCGCGCTCCTGGCCATGCTGAGCCATTTGGACGCAAGCAAGCACGTGTACCTTGGGCGTCGCGCAGGGCTTGTGCAGCTGCCGCGTGCCTTGGCCAAACACATCCCGCTCTCCTTCCTGGTCCCTACAGAGCCGAGCCACCTCCTCTTCTACCACGGCGGTGGAGGCTACATTGTGTCTCGGCCACTCCTGCAAGCCATGAGCCGGCACCTCCCAGCGTGCACGCAGCTGCCGCACCCCTGGGAGGACGCGGCGTTTGCCGTGTGCGTGGTCGTGGCTGTTGGGGCGGTCGACCTTGAAGAACTGCCCGGGTTCGACCCGTTTGTCAACGGCAAGGACGATCGAGCCAACGAGAAGGTGCTGGACAAGTTGCAGGCAACGACGGAAACCACGTTCAAGGTGCCAAGTCTCTTGCTGCACGTCTCCTTCCACTCTGTGACGCCAACGCTGGCTGCCAGCCTCGCTGCTCGCCTCAGACCCTTGCACGCGTCCACACCGCTGCCGCGCCTGCGCGCTGCCTGGCGCGCTTACATGCGAGCGAACCGCCTCGTCTACAGCATCAACGCCGCCTGTAGAGACAGCGATGGGGCGCTGCAAGCACATGAGCAGACGACATGCTTTTCCAACGCGTTTCTGCTACGCCCGCGCCTGCTGCAGCACTTCAACACAGAGTCGCCCGAATACTGCTTCCCTCCAAGCGACAGTGGTGTTGGCAGCCGACAATCCGCGTCTTCAATACTCACAACGGCAACAGAAAGTCCTACAATTGCTGCCGCTTCTGCCAACGTGCTGACGGCTCTTGAGGCACACAAGACCAATGCCAACAGAGGTCACAACGGCGGCGTTGCTTCTCTCTCCCTGCCACAAAGATGCCAACCACATGGGCGCCGAACACATCAGCGTGTTGTCTTGTTATGCGCCGCAACTGGGAGCCAAGATGTCTCTGCAACGAGTGGTACTTCTTCATCTGTGGAGCGTGTTGCAGACAGCCTGCGAGACATCATCCCAACGAGGGATGGAGACAAGGGGGAAGCGCAAACAGATTGCGTGTTGATTGTGGTTCTTGCTTGCAAGCAGGGCAGTGTGGATGGGAGCTGGGCAAGGCAACTCGACTTCACCTTGGCGTCCAGGCGCCACTGGCAGTACTCGCTGCTCGTGCTTGCTTCGCCACTGCTGCCCTCACCCGTGTTCTCCGATGTGCCGGCGGGCGCGTTTGAGGCGTGTAGGGCTGCTGCGCGTGCCGCTGTGCCGCTGTTATCACCACTGGTGACCACAAGTGCAAACACACGAGTCGTGCACGCACTCCTTCCCCCACACTCCAGCATATTTTATTTTCCATCGATGGCGCTGTCAGATAGCTTGTGGGCTGCCACATCCACAACGCCCACCGCAGTTGCCGCACAACAACAACAGCAGCAGCAGCAGCAGCAGCAGCAGCAGCAGCAGCAGCAGCAGCACTCCTGCTTGCAGGCAACGGGGCGGTGGTGCGCTGGCGTGAATGGCGAACACGTGCTGCTCATGCTTGGGTTGCATGACAGCAGCCCTGTGTTGCAGGAGTGTCCTCGCACAGCCAAAACGCCGCGAATCTCACCGTTGGTGGTGGCTGCTGGGTCGTGGCAGAGCTATCATGTGTTTTTACATGCGCAGTTGCCGGGAGAGGGAAGGGCAATGCCGTCAGAGTGCAGCCTGGCGATTGTGCTGGTTGAGTTTGCCCGTCGCGTCTTGCCTGCATGCAACGCCGACGTGATTGTCACC